TGTGATGTTGGTAAATTAAGGGTACTAGCTGAAATATAAATGCTATGCATAAGTTGGGTTGTAATAGTTAAAGTTGGGTTTGTAATAGTTAAAGTACTAGGGGTAATAGGTAAAATATAAAAGCAATTGTCAGTGTTCCGCCGCTACTGTTGCGCTGTTTGAAGTTTAGTAGGATGATCGGCTGTTTTTTTTGATATAGAATTTCCCAAGAACTATGTCACATTGCAGTGCGAGAGTTATACTTTTCCCTTTTTCTTCTGTATGCTTACTTTTTCAAGTTTAAAGTTATTCAGTGCACTGAACTTACCCCATCTTAGGCTGTTAACATTTGGACTCCGGTCACTCCACATTTTTTTTGTTTTGGGCCGTCTATTTGTTTAATTTTACAGTTCGGCCCTCTGACGGCCGCAAATTATTATTATTTCTTTATGTTTTCAAATATTTGCTTGCAAAAGTTCGGGGCGTTAGTGTTTTCGGTTACACAGTTCCATCTTACAACATATTTTGCAGGATTTTTATGGACTTGAAGCAGTACGTAAATTTTTTGGTGAGAAATTCACAAAAACTGTTGCGCATGAAATTGATGGTCTTATTTTCCAACCTGTCAACGAGGTATGTTTAATTTCCTTCCGCTATCTATCCGTGATTGTTTTGAACTATTATTTTAATCCTTAGCTCAGAGCTGTTTCTGCATTTCGCTTACTGAATTCGCGAAAAGTTTTTTGCGCCCGAATGATTTTTGCTCTTCGAATCTCTGTAGTTTAAAGCACAGAATGAATAACAGCTTTCTGTGAAATTTTTTTGGGATGGAAAATTTCCTTACCAAAATCAATCATTTTTCCAAGTTCATTCCTCGTTTCTAGCAAGACAATGTGAAACCGTGAAATTGTTTTAGGTAATTTAAATTTAGGTATTTTATGGTTATGGAAAAGGTCGTAAAAAGACAAAAGTAAAAACAAAAATAAAAGTGAAAGTAAAAACGAAAATTAAAAAAAAATAAAAATGAAGAATAAAAATAAAAACAAAAGTAAAAAGTGAAAATAAAAATAAAAAACAAAAAGAAAAATGAAAACCGAATTGGAATGTTTCGGTCCATTAAATAGCGGACTAATGTAGTTATTAAAAAATCATAGTAAGATCTATGAAAAATAATTTATCTATGAAAATGATAAAAAATCATAGTTAGAGTTTTATTTTTTAGTTGTTTACACAGATATATACTGGGATAGCATTAAATCTGTTTAAACGAATTTTTTGTGTGTTGCAGCCATACTGTGCAGGCCGGTGCGATAAGTTACTAAAATGGAAGCCACCTTCACATAATTCGATTGATTTTCTGTTGCGAATTCAACGTATCTGCAAACCCGGTGAATTACCCGAATACATT